CCCCAAAACCCCAAAACCCCAAAACCCCAAAACCCCAAAACCCCATGGATATCCAAAGTATGGAATCTCTGGTAAATAATATTTTATTAAAACCCACACTTTTCTAAAATGTCTATGTCTTTTTGTAAGAGGTTGTTCTCGAACATGACTAAGGATATCAAATTTCCATCTGTATCCCATAGAAAGGTAAAGAGGTTTTATAAAGATGTATCAATTGTCAAGTGTAAGGTTTCATTGAATAACTTTTATAGCCGAAAAGACTAAAATCAAGCCAGAAAAAGAATATACACAATCAAAATCTCATGTTAATTGGAGGGTTAGTCATAGCGATCAGTACTATGAGATCTATTTAGATAGATTCTCTGGAAAATCTTTGTATAAGGATGAAATGCTAATCCCAAGCTACCCTTTGGCAATTGCTTTGGCCGAGGAATGGGCATATCAACCAGGTAAATCTACTAAGTTATTGGTTTAGCTAAGCCTCATTATCTTAATCCAAGATCTATGAAGCTAAATACCTTGATGGCTCAAGCAATAAGAACTGAGAATGATGAGAATCTTCAAAAATATTTGAAGAAGACCATCACAGAGATTCTTGGATGTGATCAAGTCTGTTTTCAGGAAGACCCAAGACAATTAAATCCTGTCAAAAATCAATTGGCTCATGACCAAAGAGAAAGAGGAGAACCTCTTCTCAAATTCATGAAGGATAAATATGGAATGTCTTTAAATGTATTCACTGACTTTGGATTTATGGGACAAGACCCTAGTTACCTTAAAATCAAGGATGTTCTTGAGGAAACTGATCCATATGTTCTTCTCAGTATTTTCAATATTGCATCGAGCACAAAGTCTACAATGGTAGCACTTGCACTTTTGAACGAAGAAATTTCTCTAGAAGATGCTATCATTGTAAGCAGACTTGAAGAACTTTACCAACAAAAGTTCTATGGTGTTGTAGAAGGTGCACATGACTACGATGAGGCTAGGACCATTTCAGATGTTGCTGCTGCAAAGAACTTTATCACTCTGCTTTCAAACGAGTAAAGATTTTTCAATAATCTAAAATGAAATAGGGGTTTTGGGGTTTTGGGGTTTTGGGGTTTTGGGG